CAGTCTCAAGAGGGATACCCAATATGATGTGATTTGGTCTCGACATCCCGTTTCACTTCAATCACTCACATACAGGCGTCGCTTTTTCCTTGACTACGCGACATCTTAACATTCCGGGAGCGAAGTACTGAAATTTCCCAAACGCTCCGAAGACATGGTAGCAAACCATTCGCATCAGAACATTTGGCTGGTAGTGAGCCTATTAAAAGTGTCCCGTAAGTGCCGTCATGCAGGCAAGTTGCCTTGAAATATCCCAAATCTCCGCGCAATACAGCCATTTTATTTGCTCTTTTGGTCATGCATGTAGACCGGTTGTATGTGCGATCGTGTGTCCAGCTTTGTGTAGGCGTGTATACACACGACCAAGAGGATTTGAAGGCGGTCCATCAAACACGGCATGGCTCCGGTTCGCTTTGGCCCTGGACTATCCCTTGCTGACCCATTCACCAGCGTGTTTTCTCTCCTTTTTTTCTCTAATTACACGTTTTTCTCTCCTGTATCCTCTTCACCAGCTGGCCCGGACAGCCCATTCGGTGGGCAAAAGACATGGGGGCTCGTAAATTCAATCTGATATAGGCACACGCCATAACACAATCCCCTCGAACTCCTACACGTCGACTCTACGACCCACTTTGATGGCCCTTTTATTGCAGACCAAGAAGGCAGCGCGCAGAGGGCGGAGAATGTATGAATGCGAGAGCAAGAGAGAAGTGGAATTTGCGCTCTGTCTGAATCAAAACCCATGAGAGCATTCCGCTCATGTGCGAGCGCCATGGCAGCACGTCAGAAACCGCCAAGCGTTGCAAACCTGTCCCGTTCAAGGTGGTTCTGTGTCTCTGTCCTTGTGGAGCGGGAAGGGTCGAGGATGGGTGGGGGGCAGGCGGCGCCGGTTACGAAGTTGGGCTTTGGAGAAGCATCACTTTATCGTTGGGACGATAGCTAAGCCGACGAGTCTATGGTTGTTGCCTAATTAGGTGTAGCATTCGGGGTACACTTCCAATATCCAGTTTGTCCGCTTGCCCACCATCCGGAGGTACAGCGATGACCAGTTGGTTCGTGGTGCGCTGTACCGAGTAGCCAAAACACCAGACACAAGTTAGGGCTGTTAAGTAGGCCGGGGAGGCTGAGGCGAGCGCGAAGTGAGGGAAAAAATCCCAAACATACCACTGTCCAGTCACTTGTTTACAATAACTTCGAGTAATGACGCTTGGTTGTGATGGGCTGAGATGACTTGCTAAATATTTTGAAGCCTCGAGTCGGCGAGACTTAGCCTAAACAGGAATGTTAGTTTTTTTTAGGAGTTTTCAGCTGGCCCGACAAGATATAGCCCTAAAGAGGACATATGACATAACAGAGGTTGTTAATGCCTCAGACCATATGCCATAATGGCGGTGTTGAAAGAAGTGGACAGTCTTGCTAAAAGGGGGTAATTGAAGCGAAGACTTAACTTCATCCCGAACAGACCATGTCCATGTCTTCCCTACACCTCCATCTACGAAGGTGATCCCTATGACCCATGAGTTTCGTAGGGGTATGTCGTTCGAGCCTTGAGCTCGAATCCCGAAGGAAGGGTCGAAAATCCAATCAATCTTAAGACAAGTCCTGACTTAAGTATGGCTGCCGATATAGGGGAGGTGGTAAGATCCGGGCAGCCTTAGTTGATTTTTCGATTTGTCAGTGGGGTTTCGAGACTAACAGTAAATCAGATTAATGAGATGTGATGAAGGACTGGTAGGTGAATTTTCCCAAAATCATCACCTTCTATTGAATTTCCCATAAATTTGCTTCCCAAAAAGGTATTCCCATCCGGGCTAAAGTGGACTGGGAGCTGCGGATGATGATAAGACCTTGGCGAGATCAAAACTATATACCTCTCTAGATTAAAATATCCCATTGGAAAGCAAAGCTATGTGAAAATTCAATTCCATTCAATTCAATTAATGTCTACTCATATGATTGCGATAAAGTCTTTAACAAAAAGAGGGTGAATACATCTCATATATCTGATATGTTAGTGGTCTCAAAAGCCTAGTTAAAAACGAAAAAGCATGTGATGCTTTTGCAACTTATGTGCCTCTTAATGCAAACGCCTTAGAAAAGGATATCGTCAAGGGTGATAAGGAACGTAAGGTCTACTTATATGATTATGGGAAAATTCAACTACCTTAAACGAAATAAGGTAAACATATTTCCTTAGTCTTAGCTGAGACATCATCTGTTGTCTAAACTACTTCTCGATGAGTCAAAAAGTCTTCCAGAATCTAATTTGGAAGCCTAGTCAATTGCCTCCTTATATTGGTAATATATAATTATTCAGACAGAACAAAATACGAAGGTATGAAGACCAAGATGGTGTGGCCTTTTGTGTGGTCGCAGTCTCCTTTCGTTGTATAGTGGTTGTTTGACCTTGTTTTCGCAACACGGTCAAATTGGTAGGAAGACTTATTGGAATGTTCCACGTCCACGGTTCAACTTTGGAAATGATCATGCAGACAATGGACTCCGGAAGAGGTGCGTTCCAATAAGTCTTCCTACCAATATGACCGTGTTGCGAAAACAAGGTCAAACAACCACAGAACAAAATACGACTCAATAGAATTGCATAGGTTATAACACAATATCAACAGTGCCTTCATCATTACGCCAACTACCCTCAATCACATCACGTACAACTAATAATTTCATAGAATTATTAACAGAAAAAAGCAGAAAACACTAAATAACTCATCAAAGAGTCGTGGTAGGCAATACATAGCACAATAATTAATGGGGCAAAAAGACAAATTATACCCTACGGCTGAAACAATAGACTGTGCTTAAACAAAATTCCATCCAAGCAAAATAGGCTATCACAATAATATTCCAATAATAAAAATGATGATAGATCATAAATAATGGCAATTACAAGTCAATAATCATGCCAAATCGCGCCTAAACTAGAATCTGATAAGAGAATTACAGTCAT